AGAATACAGAAGATTCTGAAAGGTTTAGTACAAGGTTAAAGGTTCTCTATATAAGTAAACTGCTTTAAAGACTTAGTAGCCATGGCATATTTTTACTAGCATTAGTTAGGTCATTGGTAGGCAGAGGTAAGTAGATGAATACAGAAACAGAATAGTTAAATAGGGAATCTACAAATGGGTTCCAGGTATAGCAGCTAGTATAAAACCTTCAGGTGGACTACTTAAATTAGACAATGACTAAAGTTGTATGAGTAGCTAGTTGTACACTCTCTTCATGATTGCCCTTTGTGGTTGTAATGCAATTATTAGCCAAATATACTATCAATAAAATCTTAGGTCGCAAGTACTCATTTTAATATTTAAAAAAAAATATTACAAAATTTTACAACTTTAAATATTAAATATAAATTTTTTAATACTAAAGATCTTATACTTATTTAATTAAATAGTTATTAAAAAAGTTTATTTAAATCTAACATTTTAAGCAACAAATATTTAATTATCTTATTTTATATAAATAACAGTATATTTGAGTAATATATAAACCAACAAAAATTATAAATGTTAGTTTAAATTAACTAAAGTAACTAGTAAAAATTTTTTTTATTTTTAATAAATATATAAGCAAATTATTATTTTTTATTTATTTAAATAAATCTAAAAGTTTTAAGCAATATTTTGAAACTTAAAAACATTTGTAAAAAAAATTTATTGTTTATATGAACAGCTAGTTAGTTGCAATATTACAAAAATTATAATACTTTATATTTAAATTAAAATTATAATAGAATATTTTCTAAAATTTTAAAATATTTTTTCTATTACTATGCAAAGAATTGGCTTAAATAAATTTTAATTCATTAGCAACTTTTAAAAAAATTGTAATTTTACATTATACTAATAGAAAACAGTTTAATGTTATACAAGTTTATATATTGTTACATATTAATTAGCCAATTAAATTGTAAGTTTTAAAAGAAAAAAATAACAAAATCAAAGTGAAATTAAAACTACAATAAATTTAGAGCTTAAAATAAATATATTTTATTATTTGTAAAATATACATGTTATAATTTTGTCTATTTAGCAACTAATTAATAAATTTACATTAATTATTATTATCTTACCTATAAGAACAAATAATTTTTATATAAATTGTAATCTAAAATTAAATATCACAGTTTTTTAAATAACCTTTTATATATATAATATAATCTAAACCACAAATTATAATCTTTCTAATAATATAATAACTATTTTAAAAGTTTTAAAGTTGTATATATATATATATCTTTTTTTATCCTGTCAAAAAAAATAAAAAATAAATATATGTAATTAGTTTGTATTATTATATATTTGTTTAAACTTTTTTTTTTTTTTTTTATAGTTAAAGTCCCTATCTTGGGGATGCAACGTTTTTATTCAAGTATGCCACCAGGAGCTCACCTTACATTGGAGGTTACAACTAGCCACACATTTGTTTAAACTTTTAAAGACTTTTTAAACATATAAAAAATTATATAAACTAATACTCAAACCTACATTACTCATTAAATCATTGCTTCTAACTGTTTTTACTGTTTAATGTCTAGAATTTGTAGTTTAGTGTTTTATAATTTACTTACTAATATATACATCTTACAAGGTAAATTGTTATATAAAAGTTGATAAATTCGAGTGGATTCAACTGATCTTGTTAAATATGGTGTAAAAGTTTCGGGTTTGACTAGTAGACTTACCCACTTTTATAAAGAGAATTGGCTACACAAGTCTCATGAAAAAGTACTTTAAAATGTATAAATTACAGCATAATCGATCGTGTAACATGTTTCTATTTGTAGGTACGGTTCCTTCTGTTCATTACACCTAATATAAAGATCTTATTGACATCAATTATATAATCGGTGTATCTTTTGCAATTTTACCAAGATAACTTTTACAATTTTACCAAGATAACTTTTACAATTTTACCAAGATAACTTTTACAATTTTACCAAGATAACTTCTAAAGATCTAACCAGTATTGCCATTTATGACATCACTACAATAATGCGACGTTAATCTAAACACACTGCAACAGTGCAATGATAACCTTTGTTTTAAATGCAGCACTTATTTACAAGATATAATAACATTTGATATATGATTTTATGCTGATATAATTTTACACAATAAAACTAGATGAATTCAGCGTGTGTCACATCTTTTGATTGATTTGTTCTCATAATCTGGCCATATCAACTTTTAAGAATCTTTGTAACTTTTATATTTTAATTTATTTTCTTATAGCCGGTTTACAAGCCGCTTTGAAAATTAAGATATAAGGAGAACTAATTACTTAAAATTTTGAGATATATTATGCGAGAGAACATTTACGTTACTAATCATGATCTAACTATATCGTATTAACCTAATTCACATTGCTAACTTGCCTTTAAATACTTATATTACAGAAGTTATAGAGCATATAGATAAATTTATAATAGTTATACATTTATGCTAAAAATTTTTCACTAACACACTATAAATTAATAGATTTACTAAGCAACTTTGAAAGTTCGTTTACTGATATGAAGCGGCATTTTCCTAGTTTACCTATATTACTGAAATGTGAGACGGTATCGTTACAGCAAGGGACACAGCGATGGTAAGATATTCAAGTTTTATATTTTGTATTTATGTCAATGAGATTTTATTTACATTTTCATTTATTAACATGTTAATTGATTTTATCTAGACATTTACATGCTTTGTATTTTTTTGATATGTTTAATGCTTTAAGTTGTCGTTCAGAAAAGTAATCTATTTTTAAATTAGGAATATTTTCAAATCTAATGCTTAATCTAGCAGTAGCATTTTCACTTGTTGGACAATTATTAGTAATTTATTTACCATTTTTCCAAGCCGTTTTCAAACCGAAGTATTAGGACTTGATGATATTTTTGGACTTATAGCTATAACATTATCAGTATTTTGGATTGATGAATTTCGTAAGCATTTTCATAATCAAAAACAAGGTGATGATTATGGAATTGTTGCAGCTATAGAGATGGATAAGTGTTTTCTGTAGGAATTATTTAAATAAAGTTTGGACGTGGTATAAAATTTTTTTTTTTTGTAAAATACATATATATATTTTATTAATTGGAAATATATAGATTAGTTTATAGACACGCGTGATTATAATTCATTTATACACACAAATAGTTGTAATTAATAATATGTAGTGTGAATTTAGTTAGACATCAATATAAGGAAAGAGTTAATCTATATGCTTAAAGATAATTACATATGCAATATACAATATATCAATTTTTTAATAAAAAAAACTTTATTTTTTAAATAAATTTTTGTATTCATCAGTTTCTGATACGTACATATTCAGTATTACGTAATTGCATATGATTTCTAAAAGCCGTTTTTCCAATAACGGTTTCTCAGATAATTAATATATTAGACCACGTGGGTATTTATATAGTAGTTGTATCAAAGAATTCGTGTTTAACAATCAAATTGTTCTGCGCCAATCATATGTCCTGAGGCAGTAAAATCCTGCGAGAAACACTTTTTATTATAACGTAAAAGGTAATTTCAATTTTTTTGAAATATACGCGATTTTTCGAAAACTTCGCGTTACACAATTTTTGAAAAACTTCGCGTTACGCGTAATTTTCGAAAACTTCACGTTACGCGTGATCTAGCGTTACACGCGATTTTTTGAAAAACTTCGCGTTACGCCGATTACACGTGATTTGCGAAAACAAAAATAACACTCCTGCATAACATCACTGATTTCAATAACAGATATTTATCAACACAAAACGCGTGTTTTGAGGATTTCAAAACAATGAACGTGTTAGCAAAAAAAAGGATATATAAGAACTGCCTTTTTTCTTGCTTTTTTTTTTATACCTTTTACTTATATTTCGATTAACAGATGAGTATTAATTTTAAGCTTGTTAAGTTAATTGAAACTCTTTTATACTAAAAACCCTCAGATATTGCTCCTAGGCTTCTAGGTTACGCTACCACTGGTGGTCGTTGACGTGCTATATTCTGAGGTATCTAGATCACTTCATGTACTTACCTCTCTCTTTCTTTACACTGAATAGATAATTTGTATTCGTTCGTCAATTATTTGGTGTTAATGAAAGAAAATCGGATGAAGATTGAACGAAAATCGGATGAAACAAGATTATTTTCAAAAGTTTATTTATAAATAAATTATGTTAAAAAGTTTTTTTTTTTTTTATAATAAATACATTTTGTAATAAAAAAATCAATATAAAAGTTTTTTAATAAATGAAAATAAAAAGTAATTATTTAAAGGTTGATAATTTTAATTAATATATGTAGTTTGCTTTGTTATTGTTACGAGTTAATTGTAAATGAAAGTTTAATAAACATATAAATTTTTATAAAGATAATGTTACCAAATTCGTAATAAGCGCAAACTTATTATATAACAGTTATTAAATTTTTTTCGATTAAATTCTGAAATGCAAAATGAGCACTTTAAGAAAGGGTAAAATGGTCCGGCACTAATACAAATCGGGACTAACAATTAATACTACTAGGAAAACGGCTGCTTCATATTAATAAACGAACTTTTAAAGTTGCTTAGTAGATTTATTAATTTATAGTGTAAATTTATAACTATTATATACTAATCTATATATTAATACGATGTAGTTATATCATGATTAGTGACGTAAAGTATTGTCCTCGCATAATAGATCACAAAAAATTTAAGTAATTAGTTTTCCTTATAGCTTAATTTTCAAAGCGGCTTGTAAACTGGCTATAGGAAATAAATTATTTTCAATCAATTTTTAAAGTTAAAGTTAATATGGCCGAATTATGAGAACAAATTAATTAAAAGATGCGACACACGCTGAACTCCATAAAATTGTATATCAAATGTTATAATAAAACTTAAATTTCTGAATTTATTAAATGTATAATATGTCATATACCAATAAACCAAGTATTGCGTTTAAACTTTAAATTTATAATACACTAAATATCAATCCGATTTATTTGAATATTTAATAGTTGAAATCTGCAAATAACTTTTTATCTTATTTTAACTCCCTGAAACCCATACGGAAACAATATCTCTACCTCCGGAAATTATTAAAACAAACCTTGATAATTGATGGCTTAAATAGAAATATGAAAGACTTGGTTCGAATAATTGGGTTGCGACAATTCGATTATTATTCTAGATTACCTGTTAGCCTAGTAATTACTTATCGGGAATTCTTAGAGCAATCACTCTATTTGAAACTTTAATGTAGAACTCAAGGTGAAACATTTTTGCTACTATTTAAATTCACTAATATCGAATGTCTAATCAATCATAAAAGAAAACCTAATACACTTTATCATCAATAAATGACTACGAAATTACGTGGTATGCTCATTTGGATTCTATCTATATTTTCAAATTTTTGTAAACTACTACTTTACGGATTTTCGAAATTTGTAAGCTCAGAATTTTTAAATATCAAACAGACCATTATCAACACTTTATTATTATTATTCAATAACAACATTTACAACAATGGAATCGGTGTAATCATGAACATAATAAACGACCAGACTATAGAAGTCATGTTTCCAATCACTACAGCTATTGTTAAACTAAACATACAAAAATAGATAACCTATTTTAACATCAACGGAAACCCAGCATCTAAATATCAATTTCCCATTCAAAACACATTTGCTCTAACGATCTACAAAACCCAAGAACCAACCTTACCTCACACAACAATAAACGTAGACCTAAAAAAATTCGCAGAAGGTCAAGTCTACGTCGCAATGAGTAGAGCTCCTACATTGAAATCCATTAACATCAATAACTTTGACTTTAACGCAGTTAAGACAAACATATCAGTAATAGAAGAATACGCCCGACCAAATGAAATACCTAGAAAAAAATTAGCGCATATGCCATTTTGTACATTATCACGTGTAACCCCATATAAAATGTAAAAATAAATCATATATATTGTGTTACCCATATACAATCCCTTATACCATTTTAGTTACACAAAACTCCCAGCGCATGGGCAAACGCATGACTTGTTGGTATACATAATAATCAGGGTTAGTCAAATCACTGATCGACCAAAAATTTTATTGGTCAAACTATATAAAATAAAATATATATACATATATATACATATATATACTTTATATTTCATTTGACCAATTCGACCAATACTAAACCCTTTGACCGACTAGGCAAATTGGTCAAACTGGTCTGGTCAAGCTTGACCATTGACCAACTCTGATAATAAATAGATACAGTATGTGATACTGTCACGTTTTTGATATTTCTACATATATTCTGAGATCATGTAAAACAACTAATATCAAAAATATAGATGCTGGTGAAACTGGTGGCTATCTAAAATCTGATTGGTTGTTATATTAAATTTCACAAATTTCACCAGTTTCACCAAGAATTTCACCAGTTTTACCAGCATCTATAATCATCGAAAATTATAGTATTTATAAGTTCCTGGTAGGGCTTTGCTGATCGGACTACCGATAGCCGTTACCCACCCACCCCTTAGCTATACGTATCATCTGAGCCTTAGCAACTATGCTTTACTAGTAATACAACCTCCTAAAAAGAAAATAGCCAATCAATGAATTCAAATTTTAATCGTTCCGAATCAGTCCAACATGAATTCCTAACATGTGTAAAAGAAGAAAAAGCGAAAATACTCACAAACTAGTGTTTAAATCGGCCTTAGTGCACTAATTAAAAATGTGGAACCAAAATTTTACATATAGTAAGCAATAGTCTACGGCTATAGCTTCTAATGTTAACATTTTAACTCTAAATTTGTGTTTTGGTTATTTACAAAATTAATTTTCCTTTTTTGAGGGTTCCTTAAAGTGGGCAGATTACATATTAATCTACATACTGTATAACCCGTATTCTTAATATCCATATATAAATAATATACTAACTGCATCAAAAAAGTAATCCTAACTTTAACCTGACTTTAAGGATTTTTTTTTTAAAGTTGTATTACTGGTACAAATAAGTCTGTAGTGTGTTAAGTAGAGTTTGAGGCATAGATAAAAATTTTGGCATGCTCATATTGGCATGTCATTAGGTCAAGGCATGCTCATGTGTCCAAACCTATCATTAGCCAATTACAGCATAGTGTGAATCAACTCTGATTGGTTAATTGTTAAATGTATAGTTACATATATACTGTATATAACAGCTAGTAATATAAATTGAATACACACAGTAGGCACAAAACATATAAACTTAAATTTGCATATATTTTGTTAAAAATAATTGGTACTTTGTACATATTATAATTTTATTTTATATCATCTTAATATCAAAAAAAATAATAATAATTTTATTTTATATATAAATATAACTTTTTTGTATATATTTTTAAATTGGATTTTAATTTTATACACATGTTATTCATGTATAATATATACTTGTGTTAATAAAAATTTTTTGAATTTATAATACTAATGACAGTTAACTTCAAACAAATTGTTTGTTATAAAATAAATTTTTTAAAAATATATTCTATAACATAATCTAAAAAAAAATTAAATAATTTAAAAGTTAGCAATAGGATACATTTTTGTTTTATAAATCAAAACAATTTAGTATACAGAAAAAAGTTAATATTTATTATTCAATAATAATTAGAAATAATTAATAATCTGAAAGATTTTATTTAAAAGCAAATATTTTACTATTAATTAGTATAAAATTTACATATAAATGCTAAATTTTAAAAAAAAAAACAACTAAAATATACTAAAAAAAATAAAACTTAAATTTTATTTATTAAAAAACCTTTTATTTATTTTTTATTTTTTTATTTTTTTTAAATTAAAGTTTATGCTTTTGAAGATTAATGTTTTTATTTAAGTATTTGAACATGAATACCTCTAAGGACATCTATATATAGAAGGTTACAACTAGTCATATGTATACTTTTGGTATCCAATTTAAATAGTCTGCTTATATATTACTATATAGGTTTTATGCTAAATGTTATACCTGCAAGC